TTTATGTTTTTAGACTTTTAAAAGGTATTACGACAATATGAGAAGGTTCCAACATTTTAAAACTTTATTCTGTAGAAGTTTGCCAAACATGCAAATTTGTTACCCTCGAAGAAAATATAAGGCAAAAACAATAGTTTTGGGGTTTTTAAAAAGATAGTTTTTATTTTGATTTTGCCTTATGTTTTCACCTAGGACAACAAATTTGCATGTTGGATAATAGTAAACTTCTACAGAAGACAATTTCAAACCGTTGAACCCGTAAATCTTTTAAAAGTTCAAAAGTATTAAAATTTATGTAAAACGAATCTAGCAATTGCCCATCGCTATATTTAAACCTACAGGATTAACCACAAAGAATAGGAGTTAAGAACAGATTAAAACTCAACAATCTTGAAATCGCATCGGCCTTTGGGGTACCTTGTAACTTAATTAGTCACATGAAAAAAAACACCCTGAACCTTTTGCAGTTAATATCTTAATCTTTAACAAAATGAAGTGCAGCTCTAAGGTAGAAACATTTTACATACCATAAGAGTAATTTTCTGTTTTGAGCACTTAAAACACTCACTTTTAATGCCTATTTCATAGCTGGATAGCTAACGAGTAACTACTTCTGTTTAATAGCTAGATATGCTAACTAGCAACTAATATAAATGTTTAATATTTAGATAGCTTACTAGTAACTACTTCTGTTTAATAGCTAGATAGCTAACTAGTAACTACTTTGCTTTGCACGAAAGTACAACTGCCTTAAACTGCTTCAATTCTAAACAAACGCTTTTATATATAAGTTTTTTAATCTGGAAGAAGATATTTGCATGAACGAACTTAATAACAAATTAAATGAACGATAGTTTTTTTTTCTAAATTTTATATAGTGTAAGATATTCAACTGTTTTGACATGTGTTAATTAGGAACGAAACTTTATACCCAACACATATAAATTGCAATAAATAGCATTATACTCTAACCTCTCTATTGTAATTATTAAAATCCTAAACAAACTTCAATTTGTTTAACCAAAGAATAAATACAAGATTATTAGTTAAAACATGTTAAAAACAGAATATACATATAAATAATGGAATATCGGTTAAATATGGAGATTAACAGTAACTATTTGTATTATTTACAATACTACTGAACAGTTGACTTCTGATTCTCTGTAGTCGCATTCTATACTTAGCATCTATCAGGACTAAGGTCTTGGATTTTACTGGCGTTATTAAATCTATTGTATCATCATAGATTATACACCTTTCGTCTCTCATTGGTTTTATCCGTGAAGGGAGATCCATGGCAGCTTTAATGGTGTTCTGGTCACAAGCGTAAATGGTTGGTGGAAACAATGAACTGATATGCACAGGAGGAATTGTATCATCAACGATACAGCTTTCGTATCTCCTTGGTTTTATCCGTGAAGGGAGATCCATGGTAGCTTTAATGGTGTTCCGGTAACAAGCGTAAATGATTCGTGAAACAAATGAACGGACATGGACTGGAAGAATTGGATTTATGATAAAACTATCACCAATTACTTGTTTGTAAACAAGCATAAATACCAGAACACATAAAAAATATTCTATTGAAAATTATTTACCAGACGAAATAATTATACAACATATAGGAATCAAACAGACAAACACACACACACAGACAAGCAAAGTATACATATCGGAACAGGTTAACACCTTAACTGTATTATGTATTGTTATTTTTCCTTGAATGAAAATATGAATAAACTTTTAAAAATCTATTTTAAAAGTGGAATGAAATTAGCTTATAGCTGTCCCATCTGCCTATATGTTTTGTCACATATTTACCGGGGTGGGGAGACATCCCCCCCAATTTTCTAAGGGGAATGTACCCCCACCTTTGAGCTGCCACTAAAAGGTTTGTATTATTATTAAAGCAAATGTTTGGAATATACTATTTTGAAAGTTGCAAAACCTCTCAGAGTTTTGTTGAACCTTCTAAAATTCCAACAACAAGTTATTGTCAGTTATTGTCAGTTGTCACTTTACATTTATATTTTACTTTATTTTTTACGAAAGGGAACAGAGAACAACAAAAAAACTAGCAAAAAAATAAGTTGAAAAAAGTCCCATTTTCCTAAAGGCCCAATTCAAAATGTAATTGAAATTCTAGGGCGTATACAGGGGTTGGGGCAAGGGGGGCAGTGCCTCCCCTAGACCTGTGAATGGGAACTCAGAGCTATCACACTTTTCAAATCTTATACTGAAGAGGGAAGAACATAACAAAAATAACTTGCTGTTCAGAAGTTTGAGGGAAGTCCCCCCCTCCACAAAAAAGATATATTATTGCAGTGCTGTAACTTGCAAGGTGATTGAACTGTACGTATGTACCTTTAAAGTGTACTAGTGCGAAGTCAAATGCAAAATGTCAAATGTTCTGAGTTTACAGTTCAAACTTTGCCCCCCTGCTTTGCTTTGAAGTTGTAAAGAATAACAAAAAGGAAAATTACAATATAAAAGAATGTATACAAATTTTTAATAATAGACAATTACGTAAAATGTATACCTATACCTAACCCATTAAAAAAAAGTATGCCTGATATACAAGAAGAAGGCAAATGTTTTGAATTTACAGTTAAAATTTGCCCCCCCTCCCTAGGCTAGCTCTTAGGGTAAAAAAATTGTGCTTCGCGCCTTTTTGCCATCCCCCCTACACTTTGCTTTCTGTATACGCCCTTCCTGGAATTAAAGTCCTATGTTTTGGATTCATGGGACTTTTTTGTTGTTACATTTGAACACACTACAGCTGGTTTAAGCCCATTCATGTGATCAATAATTACTAGTTTTCCGGACAAAAATACTACGATATCTAAAAGCATGGATATAACCATTATTTTCAACTATCAGTTCGTGGAATTAATATTTGTAACAATTTCGGAAAATAAAAAGAATAAAGAATTGTGGCCATTTTCGGGAAGTAGTATTGTCTGACACCAAAACTCATTCAAAAGTCCTATACAAATTCAAGAATTTATTTTCTAGGAATTTTTTTCTGGCTCCAGTATGATTTTCTAAAAAAGTCCTATAACAAGTGAAAATGCATGATTCACCATGGAAAAATTCCTAGTTGTAAACATCCTTACAATGGTCGTAGGTTTTCAGGGGCTTGTTATTAGAACACCCCTAGCTGTATATATTCATTATGCAGATAAATGGAAAATAAATATATTTGTTACATTTGTATATATTTATCACACATTAAGTTAGCATTTGTTTTTGCATTTTATTTCAGAATATGAACCTGCCCAGTATATGATGTACTGTACATAGTACATTTGTACGCGGAATTATGTACACAACCTTTTTTAGGACTTTTTTTCTGCAGAACTTAATCACTGAGTTCAAATTTCCCGAGTCTTAGGACTTTTTTAGGTTTTTCTTTTCCTCGGATTTATTTTCTTCCGGACTTTTATTCATGTAATTTTTTTTCTTGAGACTTAATTGACAGCCCTCCATACTGTTTTAGGAAAAAAAGTCTCAGGAATCTAAAACACAGGACTTTTTTTTCAGTGACATTTTTTCCAAGGATTTAAGAAAATTCGGACTTTTTTCCAAAGTTTTTATTTCCAGGTTTTTTTAAATTTTTTGTGAAAATCCGCGAATTATTTTTGTTTTGTTTTACGATGTACACAAAGAGAACATGTTCACAATTAATTTAGGAGATGGGCGCGAAGCGCTCTCTAAGGCTAGAAAGAAGGGCGCGAAGCGCCTTGAATTCCTAGTAATATATATTATATAACGATAGATAAATAGTTTTCTATGGTTTTTATGGTTTCAGAAGCATATCCGATAAAATATATGATTATTTCCAAAGATTCAAAGAAAAAGACCTAAATTTCTGACTTTTCTCTTGTGTTTTTATTTCAGACCTTCATAATACTTATTTCATTCACGTGACTCACGAGTCACGTAACTTTTTAAAATGGAATAGTTCATGTGTTGTAGATGGAATGATGGATAGATGGAAGGATGGGTAGATGGGTAGATGGATAGATCGAAGGATGGCCTTCGAAGGATGGATAGATCAAAGGAAGGATAGAAGGATAGATAGATAGAAGGATAGATAGATAGAAAGATAGATAGATAGATTAGAAGGGCACAATTCTTCTAAATCTAACACTCTCAGATCCGTGAAACAAAAACTCTTTTTGCCAAATTTTTGGTTTATTTAACATCTTCAGGGCATATTCTTGCTTTATCTCGACCAAAGATTAACTTGGATAGCAGAATAGATAGATAGAAGATGCTTGGCAGGATAATCCTGAAGGTTGACCTAGTCCCTGGACAATAAGCGAGAAGAAGAGAAAATATCAAGAAATCAAGATCTTAACATTTCCCCACTTCTTCTAGTTAGTTCACAGTGGGCCAAATTTCAATTGTACTTTGCACAGTGGGCAGTATTAAATATTTAAAAAAAAATATGTTTCGATTTTTAACATTTTTAAATCTCCATTGATCTAATTTAAAGATCATAGACCTTAACCAAGCATTTAAGATAAAGTCTTAAAAGCGTTCTATTTGTTAAAAGTGTTTTGATTATAAGTTTTAAGAAATGTTGCTCAAAAGATAATAATTATCCAAGAACACAATGGGAATTATTTCAAATGCAATAAAAATAACACATTTATCATTTTTAAAATAACGGATGAATTTTTGTAATATTGAAATATATGCAAATATGAATATAAAGTGTGGTAGGAAAATCCTACTTTCTTCACAGGATTTCCCGTAAAAGATGAGAATTTAACCATAACCTGAGACTCTGTATAGAAATTCTAGGATTTTGCAAAAGTTTATCTAGTATGAACGAACAAAGATAATGAATTAAAATTAAATGCTACAAAGACTCGTGAATTTATGTGTACCCATCTGTACGCTAAGAGTGTGCGTAATGTGTATACAATACCACTGTTCGAGTTTTATATCCCTATATTGGCCCGGTGTTGAAAGTTTGAATTTTCTTCTCACTTTCTCCTCAGTTTAGTTGAACACTAGCAGACCTGATATGAAGTACATCGTATTCTTCGCTCTCCTCGCTTCCTTAGCAATCTCATGCTCGGCCAGGCATAGGTACGCATCAAACTCATCAAATTCTTACAAGAAATTCTAATGTTTTGTTAAAAATATTGAACATTACAAATATTTTGTTCTAAATTGTGAAATTGTTTTTTCTAAATTATGAACAATTTGTTTTAAATTATGAATATTTTGTTCCATATTATGAACATTTTTTCTAAATTGTGAATATTTTGTTCTAAATTATGAAAATTGTGCTATAAATTTTGAAAATTTTGTTCTAAATTATAACCAGAATTTCTCACAAATTGTTATATTCTTGTATTTGACATCACGGACTGAATGTTCGTGTTTCTTTTACAATGTAGCACTCAAACTTATTTAGTTTTTAGTTCATTTCCTTAAAATTCCTTGTTTTTAAAAACATGTTCAATTTTTTAAACAACGAATAAAAAACAAGAAAAGAGAAAATTAAAACATAATTTGTGCGTTTTGTGTACGCTACTTCCGCATTGGTTCGTTGAAGTCACCCAATTCCCTTTCGTTGAAGATCAGTTGCTGAAAATACCATTTCCCTTTAGTTGGTGGAAAACTCCTATTCAGAACATGATTTTGACGTAGGTTTATTGCTCTACATGGAACTCAATATTGCAACAAGAGCAAAATATGCATTTTTGAGGACTTATCTACATGGATATCCACATATGTGGATACTTAAATGTACATGGCTATCCACATATATGGAGACTTAAATGTAAATGGATATCTACATGTATGGATACTTAAATGTACATGGATATCCACATATGTACATGGATATCCAAATATATGGATACTTAAATGTAAATGGATATCTACATGTATGGATACTTAAATGTACATGGATATCCACATATGTGGATACTTAAATGTACATGGATATCCACATATGTGGATACTTAAATGTACATGGATATCCACATGTATGGATACTTAAATGTACATGGATATCCACATGCATGGATACTTAAATGTACATGGATATCCACATATCTAGATACTTTAATGACGTCCTAATAAAACAATAAGTTAAAAGATAATCTTCAATCTTTTATAATGTTTTATAATATAACAATCCCATCTAAAATCTCATTCTTTGTGGTTAACCCTGTATGTTATGAATATCTGGTTTTTACTGGCCTAAGATACAGTTCTTGTTGGGCCCAAAACTAGGTCAACTTTCACTTGAAGTGAGAGTACATATACCCAACACCGTATAAGTATATTCACTACAGATTAACAACCTAGAAAAATTAATAACAACGTAGCAACGCAATAGCAGGGACAAAAAAAAAACAAGTTCTATAAAACGAAAAATTAAATAATTACTAAAATATTTTATAAAATCTTTCCTATCATTTTGCATTCAGGTTAAATTTTCCATTTAATTTCTGAAAAATTTAGAAATAGCAATACACGTTATGTAAATCAATCATTATTTAACATTTGATAAAAAAAATATTTATTTTGCCTAAAAATATTTTGTTCATGCAATCTATGTATCTACTGAAAGCAAAATATTAATCTAATATACTCTTTTCCCTTTTAGCTCACGTACAGTGTGTCCCTTTAATGCAAGCATATTTGGTCATCAATAGCAATTAAATAAAGCTATTATAAGTTTAGACAATTTTCAATTTTCATTCTGGAGTAGGGATATTCTAAAACTATTGTTTTAAGAATTATAAATACTAAAATTAGAACAAAAACGCCACAATATATCTCTGCATGTTAAGAAAAATTATGTTTCGAAGGAAAAAGTGCCGAAAGTTCTAAATCATCATTTGCAGAAATACTTTAAAAAATCTGTGTAACTTAAAGAAATGACCCTATTACAGTTTTTTTTTCAATCGTAACATTTGCTCAAAATCATTTGTACGTTACAGAATATTATTAAAATCGAATCTTAATATTTTTATTAATATTAATACTAGTTTTTATTTGATTATTATTGGTTGAGTTTATAACGTTCTCTTATTACAGGCTGGTCAGACAAGCAGTTGAAGAAACTGATACCTCAACCCCTGCAGAAACCACTTCAGCTTCTACAGCACAGCAGAATTCAGCAGTTGAAGAAACAACAGCTGCTGTTGAGGTGGAAGAGAACAAGGTGGAGGAAGAGAAGGATGATGCTGAAATGAGTGCTGAGATTATCAAGGAGGAGAATGTTGAGAAATGTCAGAAGTGTTTGAAGCCGACCTTTAAGTTTAAGCACGAGGCATTCTGTGGAAAATGCGCAGCACAGAAGATAATTGACGCAGAAGAAGCCGAGGAACTTTCTGACGCTATACAGTGCAAGAAATGCCTGAAAGCCAAGTACAAGGCCCGGCATGAGGAGTTCTGCTCCAACGAGTGCGTAGATATGGAGGAGGAGAAGGAGGTTGAGAAGAAGGTAGAGGAGAAGGAGGAGGAAATTGTTACTGAAAGCGTAAAGATGGTAGATGCAGAGGAAGATGAGGAAAAAGAAGAGGAGGAGGTTGAGGCAAGTTCCACAGAGAACCAAGTTAACAAGAAGAATAAGAACAAGAGGAAGAAGAACAAGAACCAAAATAAGAAGAATGCAAACAAGTTCACTACTGAAATGGATGAAGAAAAGGTTGAGGAGACGACTACTATGAAAATAGTTGAGCTGGGTCCTCTAGGAAACCTCATCAAAGCCCTCGTTGTCCAAAATACATGGGTCAGCTAGACCTAGAATATCAGTTTTCATCAATAATGTATCTTCATAAAACCAAAAATAGTCTAATTAAATACTTGCATTCATGCATCGCCTTTTATTATTTCGGATTGTTTCTTTTTCATAAAAATAGAGTATGCAAACATCTCCTCCCCCGTTTTTCCTGGTGATGGTCCCTCTCATGCCCCCTCCCCTCCTCTAGGGTTAAGCCTGGTATATCCCGGTGATCTGATGAAATTTACTGGTGAAAGATAATTTTTTTCTTACATTAAAGTTGACTGAAGTATATCAATAAAATATTCTTACAAAAAAACCTGTTATTTAATGTTTTGGCATTCATCTATATATGCAGAGAACTCATTCCTAGTTTATGGTTATATTAAGTCTTCTACCTTACATATAATCTTTTAATAACCTATTATATGATTTGGCAACGAAATGCAGTGGCAGGGAATCTTGATTATACGGATATAGCTACAGCATTCATTCCGTACAGTCGTCTCTGAAGTCTCATTCTTTGTGGGTAAACCTGAGTCTTAAAGGGACCGTTCACTTATTTGGATAATTTCAGGGTAAACTAAATAGCTTATTAGCTATGGACTATAAATTGGTCTTACTTTATAATGACATCCATAATCGGAGAAAAAATCCGATTATTACTCAGAATTTCAGTTTTTTACATTCTTCACAGAAATTTCAGTAAAATTATTTGGTAAACATTAAAAGTTTGTGAGTTCCTGCGGTATATTTATGGATACGTTCGCATAGGAACCTATACAACTGTGGAATTATAAGACGACTGTTAAGCTAAAGTTATAATTATAAATATTCCAATGAACTCCACTCCACTCCACACTGGTATAAAAGTCGTCATTGAATTTTCATAACTTTGAGAACCACTGTAGACACTCGAATTTTTATTTATTTTTATTCTGAAATTGTTTCGGTTTTACAATTTCAAAATTTGTTATTCACTTTATACATGACTGATCATGAATGAGCTATCAGCATTTTATTTGACATTTTTTCCTCTTTCTAAACATAAATTTTCAGTTTATAATGGACGGTGGATGAAACCTATCATTAATTAGATGAAAATGCGCAAGAAAAAGTATAGAATAGGAATGTCTTCGTAGTTCAAATCTTAATGAAGATTTAACGATATTATAATGTGCTAAAGGCCAAAATAAATCATTTGATCGTGGTAAATTCGTCATTACAGTCCCAGTTTTTGTAAATAATCTTTAATCGTAATAATTGTATGAATTCAATTGGGAGCTTGTTAATTATTTCTGCAAAAACTGTTTTTTGGCTAAAACAACATTACTGCACATGTAGCTGAGCTAATTAGAGAGAAAAATTGAAAATGGGTCTTAACCATACAATCTTTTAAAAAAAATCTTTAAGATAATTAAGTCAGTATGGTTAGCAAGATGTAAATTGACGACGACTTTCGGAACCACCATGCAAAACGGTAATCTCAGGTAGATTTTAACATGATTTAACAACTAGATTCCTGTTATTTCTAAACCTGTACCAACAATTACTCGTATATATACGGAATAAAGAGGGAGTGCACTGCTTAAAGAAAAGGTGGATATGGAGATTTCTTCGCCTTTGTCAGGTGATTATTTACGGGAAAATAATTATGGTACACCGTACATGGTTACTCACACAGGACGAGACTATAAAGACGACTTGAAACTCTTCAGATATGACGATTCCAATTTTGAATTAAGTCCTCTGCCCTCAATGTTTTTTTTTAATAATTTGGCAAAGACAAAAAAGGATATAGTTGAAGAAAATCATGCATATATATGTATAGGGGAACAAATAAATTCCGAATAGTCGTCATAATCCTGCAAATCTGTTCAATAACATTAAGCGAACATTTTTATAAGACAGTTAACCACCGTACTTCATGCAGTATATCGTGTAAACATACGCTCAACTTCCTTATGAGAAATAAACTGGAAATAAACTGCCAGCTTTAATCAGACATATGTATGCGGAAGTCTGGTTTTGGCTGGTGGAAAAACAATGTAGTTTTAATTAGAATTAAAAATTGAAGGGTTCCAAACATTGCATTGATTCTGTGGTAACAAAAATGTATGTATTCTTTGAACCTTTGACATTATCAAAACGGAGTTTTTAGTTACATATCAAACATAAAATAAAAAACTGCTATTTTAATAGCAATATTTTTGTGAATTTGAAAAACATAAGACGACTTTTTTGTAAAAAATAGAGATAAAAGCTTTAGAAAAATTAAAGTAAATGTATCCAATAAATTGAAATGAAACGTCATCTCTAAGTGGTCTGCGAACGTGATCCATATACTTTAATTTCCAGACTAGATAAAAAAACTGGTGAAAAGAAAATATTTTATTTTTTTATAAAAATATTTTAGAATCTGGAAGGTCAGGTTCCACCCCCGCCAGCTGTCCACCACAGACTGGGATGAATGCTTTTGCTTTCCACCCCTCCCTTCTCCATCAACCCCCTCTCACCCAAATATTTCCTTCTTGATCCCTCCTTGAATCCAAAAGTATTGATTGTATCATTTACTCAAAGACAAATTAGAATCAATGATAAACCCCTGGAGGCTGCGCCCTCGGGTTTAACATTATTCTAATTTGTCTGAGAGTAAATGACATTCCTTTGTAAAAAATAACAAATTATTTTTACTATTTGTTATTATTTTTAAAAGGGGCGGGATCAAATGAAAATTGTTGCATACCAAAAAACCAGCTTTTTATGAAGAAATGAATCTTTGAAATTCGGCGTTGTGGCTCTGAGATTAAAATGTTGTCAGAAATGTTCATTTTTCACGTCAAACTAAAGTAAAATGCAAGATTGAAATCATAACTCTTTTATTTGCAGAGCTATTGCGAAGAATTAAAAGTTTTAATTTATAATATTTAACCAAATAAATTAGCTTTTCTTACTATTTGCGTAAAATCAGAACTAGAGGAACAACGGGGTCACAAAGTCGTAACAGTAATGTCAATTGAAATTGACCTTTTCCTCCTGGATAGTTTGCAGTGTTTTTAGTGTGAAGATTGGCAGTGGACAAAAAAAGATAAATGTATGTATTTATATATATATTTTTATTTAATAACATTCTTTTTCAATTGGAGTTAAGTCGCGACTTCTGAATTATACGATCCACGAAGCATTTGTTTGTGACAAATACTGTCAAATCATTTTACATTGTTTTTCCTTCACATCGTGAATTTCCTAAATGTTTTCACTTCTTCTGTGCCTTTAAGATTATTTGTGATTTTAAGAACATGTGACCCTTTTAAATTATTTAGAAACCACAGCAATTGTCCGACCAACTTTTAGAAAGTTAAATATTCGTTCCATCTTTTCTTAAATAAAATCATATCTTTTTGAGACACCCTGTAGACTGTAGTTTCTCCTTTTATGAACTAATAAAATTATTTTTTAGACACCGTCATGAACATATTGAATAATCTTAATAATAACAACAATAACAACAACAACAACAATGATAACAATAATAACAACAACAGGTTTGAAAGCATGAACGTGAATATGAGATCTTTCGGCACATCCTTTATGGTAAGCATACACATATGTTGAGTCACATCATAATTAAATATTTCTAATTCTGGAGACGTATCAGAATATTTAAAAAATACTTTTTGTCCAATAATCAAATTGATTTTTTTTCTCGAAAATTATGGAGGTCACAAAATATTTCTTAGTAATATAAAAAAATTTTATTAGAGGCTGCGAAAAAAGAGAATAGAATATATAGAGGGGAATTTACTAGAAAAAAGTGTAAAACGGCCATTTTGTTGTACTGTTTCCATACTGCAGGTGTACTTCACATATTTATGCTACATAACCTTTTGGGCCCTGGAATATCATTTTATAGAAAATCTAAAATTAATATTAAAAGAAAACCAAATTATGAAATAGGCTGGTTTCATAATTGACCAATGATTATTTCACATAGACTCTATGCCTTTCACTTTACAAACGATGATTTTCCGTTATAACTATAAATCAAATGATGTTTTTATTCACCTAATTCATTATAAAGTTTATTTAAAAGCTTTAAAAAATTCGAAATTGAAATGGATAATCTAGGGAACATACTGTATTAATGTACTCTACTGCATATAATTTGTGAACATTTACATGATTTGTACACTTTGAACTCCCTTTTGAGGCTGAAAGGGACTGACAAAAATTCATACCGAGAGATTCTCTAAATTCCCCTCTAATATATATTCTATTCTATTCAATATATTTTCTGTTTAGATTTCTGATGAGAATACATTAGTTACTACATTATTACGACAGGAAACTATTGTTAGTTTTTAGAGTGGAAGATTAGAGAAACTCCCATTATATAAAGTGTTCAGCAGTTTCTGTTAGTAATGTCACATAGGTCCAATACTATAATATATGTTGAGTGATTCGAACCTGTACACGGATTTACCCGTTAATGTACTCGTGTACTTGTACAAACACATTTAATCGTACCTACCCGTCCATTGTCCAGTGAACCAAGTGTGTATAGTGGACATTGATATTATAATAACTCATCATTGTATTCTTATGATATTAAAAACTCATATTTTTCTTGTCTAGGTTTCTGGTTTATATAATTGAAAAATATTGGAGACAGTTAAGAATCTTCTTTCAGAGTACTTTGCCAGAGATCTATTAAAAAAAATCCGTTTCAAATATGATTATTCTCATTAACTAAAAACTCTGATAATGCTGATAAATCTTTAAAAAAATCTAAAATATTTTAATAAAAAAATAAAACCTATATACATTAGATTTCTCATAGAGATTAAAAAAAACAAATAATTTAAACATACATTTTCTAGACTTTAAAGTAGATAGAATGCAAATTTTGCGCAAATTCCAAAGTTTGAAAATCTCAGCTAAAGTTTATAATGCAAACAATGTATCATTTACTCTCAGACAAATTAGCGTAGCCCAAAGGTTTATCATTGAATCCCGAGGGGGTTTAAATTTCCATTGATTCTAATTTGTCTGAGAGTAAATGACATTCCTTTTTAAAGAGGGGATTCAATGATAAACCCGAGGGCTTGCGGATTTTGCGGATTTTTTTTGCCTTTGTAGATTTTTAAAGTATCTTTCAATGAAAATATCCCGGTGGGATTAAATGAAAATTGTTGCATACCAAAAAAACAGCTTTTTATAAAGGAATGTCCATTGTTGCAATAGTTAAACTTTTGAAATGTATTTTTTGTGTAAAAATCCTTCCGCGCATTTCGGAGATGTGATTGCACATCCCAATCTGCGCGGAATTCTGCGCAAAATGCTTTCGAGCTATTCATAAAATGGGGGTTATCTTTTTCGTGTCTTAAAAATAGTCGTAGATATCAGACATTGAGACAATTTTATTAAATAAATTTTACAATGCATAAATTCCGGAATTTATTTGGGATAGGAATGTACAGGGTGTCCCAATAAATATGGGAAAGAAAGTATAAAAATGAGGCTGTATGTCTTACGATCTATTTTTGGTCTATCTTTTTGTCTTGATAATAGACGAAGATATTAGTAGATATTAAGACAATTTTATTAAATAAATGGAAATTTTGCGATATAGTCGTCAATTTTGCAATATATTCGTCAATTTTGCAATATATTCGTCAATTTTGCAATATATTCGTCAATTTTGCAATATATTCGTCAATTTTGCAATATATTCGTCAATTTTGAAGATACAAAAATGGTTTTCAATATTAGATGTGTAAACTGGAATACTGCAAATATTGTGTTCATGAAAATATTTCTCTTAATTTCCATGTTTATTGGAAAAAGTGGAAAAAGAGTAATCGGCAAAATACTGCTAGAATTTTACGTCTTGGTTTTCAGTGTGATGGATTTTTTCGCTAAAGCATGAATACTTTGGTATACTGATTTGTATAACAATATGAGGATGCAGGGAGTGAACCCCTGGAGCAGGGAGATGTTTCAATCTATAAGATATGCAAACAATACAAAGGTGAACAGTGTGAAAATAAAAGAAGATGAGGATTGTAGTAGAAGTGCACCCTTTATCACATGCATTTCACGCCAGACTTCACGTAACTTTGAAATCTTATATGTTTTCGATCATAAATCCTTATATTGATAATTATCCACAAATGTCACGTGAGATCCTATACACAATTTGGGCACGATTTTCACGTTTATCGGATACAAACAAACAACAAACACCTACCCAGACAAGCAATGCATGTATATATATATATATTTATATATATATATATATATTTATATATATATATATATATATATATAGATTATAGATAACGAGATCAATGTTCTTTTCTCATGTTTCTTTTCGCACCTGCTTAAATATTACAAGAATTATAATTTATCTGTGTGTCTAGTTCACAGTGTTTTGATTCCATTTCTACCCATTAAATGCAACTTTTTATCGTTTATTCATTTAAAACGTGTTTTAAACATTTTTCAAGGTTTTATACATTTTGCATGATTACATTAATGTATTTTCATTTTTATCTTTTTGTTCAGAATTGATATGCATGTTTCAAAATCTTGATATGTTTGGAAGGTATACCGTGGATGCATGAAAAGTATTTTTTTTTGTATAAAATTCAATCCCCCAAACTTAGAACTTTTAAAATAATTAAGCTATATAGATTATTATTTTATGCATAAAAGATACAGCCATTGAATACTTGCTTTTAGGTTCCCGGGTTAAAGGTATTACAAGCTTGGATGTCTGGAATTGTAACAACGTATCCTTCATGTGGGTTTGCTCTACTTTGTGAATTATTTAACTACGCAGCATCAAGGTATTTTGCATCTTTGTAAATTTCTTTTATTTTTGTTTGGACATTTTCTAACTGTGGTGGACGTCTATATCAATACAATAAAATCGACTTTTTTATTTGAGTTTCGATTTCGTTTTTTTCAATTTACAAGTTTACAAGTAAACAAAGAGAAGCTGTTAATTGAAAGCTTCTTTTTGTTTCTATGTTTATGTGCATCCATGTTGATTGAAAGCTTAGTAGACACTGGCATCCGTAGTACATTTGAATTTCCGAGCCGGGTCAACCTTTCCGTTCCCAGTTTGTACTGTACCTAGCTATATGGACAGGAATAGCCGGTGCAACAAGACTTTATGCTTCATATAGGTTGAATTTACTTTTACTAAAGGGGCAGAGGTGCGTGTAGAAATCAAAAATATAAATAGAAATTCGTCTTTATTATATATACGACGACGACGGTAAAATATTGTTTTTCAGTATTTTGACATTTCATTGATTTGTATTTGTTTAGTTATGCCCCGAATATATGTTCTACAGGATTGGATTGTCCTCTATACAGCCTGGAGTAGGCGTTCCCTTTGCAGTCTGTCGTAGGCGTTCCTTGTTTTAAGAAAACCTTTAAAATTGTTATTTGTCGGAGAAGTTGGGTTCAACTAATTTCTCATTTTCTCAGTTCGGAGTCAGGCACCTAAAGAATATATCTGTTGTTATTATTTAAATATTGTTGTTTAAAAGCACATACTGATGAGGAATGATATCGTATGATCACTGTTTAATTTTCAAAAGTAATTTGAAATAAATGTATGTTAAAATTTTTTTTTTTTGATTTGATCTCGTTTATATCTTGTAAGGCTTTTAGGGTGCTTTGCGCCCATCTTCTACTTTAATTGTAAACATTTTTCTTTGTTATACATTAAAAAACAACAACAAAATAAAGTTCACAGATTTAAAATCAAAATTTGTTGGAGACAGAGTTTGGAAAAATTGATCATCCATAAACCTTCCCTTGGGTCATGTGAGGTCCCACGCAATTATTTATATATAGATTTTACTAGTTAACAAATTATTTCTTTAATGTTTGATTTATGAAAAAAAAGTTTTCAAAAAATATCATTTAAAAACTGAATAAGAGTGCAAAAGTTCATTCTTTTTTAACAGAGAATTTTGAAAAAAAATATTTTGAACGTGTTAACATATTGTTATTTACGCACAGTTCAAAATTATTCTGAGCTGAAAAAATTTAACTTGTGAAAATGTGGTTTTGATGCATTATATATATATATATCCTCTCTTTTCATTAAGGTAGACCGTATAAGAAGTGAGCTTTTGCCACAAACTCTCATTTTCCAATTCCTACATCGTAGACCTTAGATATTTCAATCATATTTAGTGGCAAAAACTCAATTAGTTTAAAGTGGCATGTTAAAGGTGAACGTTAATCTGTCTCGTGATAAGGGCCCGGGGCCGTGAGACGACGTAAGTTGACCGTGTTTTTTTTTATAAACCAGCGCAACGTAGTATTTTCATATTTTCAAATTATCTTTTTATTTGAGTTTGTATCCTTTTTTCATCTGACAACCAGAATTGTCTCGACATAAAACCGGAATTATACTGACATGAAATTAGAATTATTCTAATATGAAACCAGAGTTATCTTGACATGAAACCAGAATTATCTTGACATGAAACCAGAATTCTAATGACATGAAACCTAAATTATACTGACATGAAACCAGAATTATCTTGACATGAAACCAGAATTATAATGACATGATTTTACTGAAACCTAACTGACATGAAATTACAATTGTCCTGATACGTATACAAAATTATATCGACATGAAACCAGAATTATCCAGACATGAAACCAGAATTATCTTGACATGAAACCAGAATTATCTCTACATGAAACCAGAATTATCTTGACATGAAACCAGAATTATCTCGACATGAAACCAGAATTATCCAGACATGAAACCAGAATTATCTCTACATGAAACCAGAATTATCCAGACATGAAACCAAATTTATCTCAAAATAAAACCAGAATTATCCTGACATTAAACCAAAATTATCCTTAAATGAAACCAGAATGATATTGACATGAAACCAGAATTATCCTGAATTGAAACGAGAATGATATTGACATGAAACCAGAATTATCCTGACATGAAACCAGAATGATATTGACATGAAACCAGAATTATTCTGACATGAAACTAGAATTATCTCGACATGAAACCAGAATTATAATGACATGAAACTAGAATTATACTGACATAAAACCAGAATTATCTTAATATGAAACCCGAATTATCTTGACATGAATCCAAAAATTATACTGAAACCTAACTGACATGAAATTAGAATTGTCCTGATATGTATTCAGAATTATCTCGACATGAAACCAGAATTATCTCGACATGAAACCAGAATTATCTCGACATGAAACCAGAATTATTTTGACATGAAACCAGAATTAGCTTGATATGAAACCAAAATTATCTTGACATGAAACTAGAACTATACTGACATGAAACCAGGATTATCCTTATATAAAACCAAAATTATCCTTATATGAAACCAGAATTATACTGACATGAAACCAGAATAATACTAACATGAATTCAGAAATTTCCTGACATGAAGCCAGAATTATCCTGACATGAAACCAGCATTATCCTGACATGAATTCAGAATTATCCTGACATGAATCCAGAATCGTTTTGACATGAAACCAGAATTATCTTGACATGAATTCAGAATTATTCTGACATGAATTCAGAATTATTCTGACATGAAACCAGAATATACTAATATGAAACCAGAATTATCCTGACATGAAACCAGATTTAGACTAAGGTTGCCTACTGCCTAGTAGTAAATCTATAGATATGTAGATATGGATGGAGTAAAGATGAAGTAACTAAAGATACCCTTTTCTCTGAACAAAAGAGGCGGAAAAAAAGTAAGCTGAGAGAAAAAAGAGAGAAAAGCTATCCCTGTAGGAAATGTAATTATGTGGAAACTAAATCCGGTAATTTGAAGAGACATAATAGAAGTAAACATGAAGGAATGAGGTACCCCTGCGATCAGTGTGAATACACTTTTACTCAAGCAGGTGATTTGAAGATCGAGTCATGATTTATGATCTGACATACAAACAAATTTACAATTACGATATTTTATATATAGATGATAACAAAATGACATTTAAAATTGCTAAATAAGTGGAGGGAGGGTGTGTGTTTCTCCGAAAAGATTGAATCACAGAATCACAGAAAATTTGCAAAATTCTAAAAAGGAAGTTGGCAATTTTCAGTTCTGGTCTAATTTCTAAGGAAAAGTTTTTTTTAAATTTTCTAGTTCCTTTCTTCTTAGCATATTCTATAGTTTTAAATATAAACTGTTCAGTTGAAATTTTTCCTTTAAAATTAGGCACCAGGCGCCGCTAATCACAGTTTTTTTTGACTCACCCTGTAGTTGTCAAAAAAAAATGAAAAAACTTCTTTTATTCACTTTTTAGTTCATTAATAATCAATATCTTATTCTATTTCATCAATTTCATCAAAAGTTATAAAATAAAGATATTGAAAAAACACCGCAAAATTTTCTTAAAAATCCGCAAAAATTTCAGTTAAACATGACTTCTTCTCACGTGGGGTTTGTGCCAACACAGGTATATCTTTAAAATTAAAACGTTTATAAAAAAATAAATTAACTCATAAAGCGTATAAATAAAGAAACACATAGATAAAAATTGCATGAACTAAATGTTTAGGTATAAGTTATGAGAGAAAAGTAAAAAGAAATGTTGTTTTTTATTTACATAGAAAAATATGTAAACATTGCAGTTTTTCGTCTTTTTAAACATTACTTAAAAATAAACTTTTCAGTTTTTTAGAAAAGTCTTTACGTCACAATATTGATTTTTTGATGCATTAGGAAGATAAAAATGTAAAATAGAATATTATTTTTTTTTATTTTGTTACTTTCTTCGTTTATTTAGAGGAGAGCTGAAAATCATAAATTTAAAACTTTCAGTCATAATTCTCATAATACTTAATTCTCTGAATATTTTTTATGACATTCTTTTTTTCAGCGACGAAAGAGTGTTTGTGCATACACAATCAATTCACAAGATACTGATGAAGATATCAAGGAAAGAAATTTTTTTAATAAATTTTTATAAAAGAACTTTTTTCGAAAAAAAATTCGATTTTTACACTTTTTAGGATCCCTGGTGTGATCCTGAAAACCCCAAGGTTATCAGATTTGAAGGTGCTAGCATTATAAAATACAAAATAAGAGATTCAATGATTTCGAATTNAATCAACACTCTACATTAAATCAACACTCTACATTAAATCAACACTCTACATTAAATCAACACTCTACATTAAATCAACACTCTACATTAAATCAACACTCTACATTAAATCAACACTCTACATTAAATCAACACTCTACATTAAATCAACACTCTACATTAAATCAACACTCTACATTAAATCAACACTCTACATTAAATCAACACTCTACATTAAATCAACACTCTACATTAAATCAACACTCTACATTAAATCAACACTCTACATTAAATCAACACTCTACATTAAATCAACACTCTACATTAAATCAACACTCTACATTAAATCAACACTCTACATTAAATCAACACTCTACATTAAATCAACACTCTACATTAAATCAACACTCTACATTAAATCAACACTCTACATTAAATCAACACTCTACATTAAATCAACACTCTACATTAAATCAACACTCTACATTAAATCAACACTCTACATTAAATCAACACTCTACATTAAATACAACAAACAATGTCAAATATTTATCTAACTTATCAAGCTCTAAAGATTCAGAAGTTTCTGGTTTATCAATCTGACATTCAATTATGGTAATTTTTCATTCATTTAATAAAGACAAAGAAAATGAAACTATAAAGAAACCAAAAACGCGCCTTATAAGACCCTGATTAAACATAATAACATGCAACAAGTTAAAAAAAAGTATTTGAAAAAGTCTCAATTTCCAGCACCAATGTTCTGTCTAAAGAAAATATTTAGTTGTGTTCGGATTTTTTCTGCACTTTTAGTTTCAAAGATTTTTTCTCTCCTGATTTTATTAGACGCATACGTTAAATATTTGTTGTTTCTATCACTGCTATATCCGGGTATATTTTGGAGAGATTTATAGAAACTAAATATAAGGAGCGTGGAGCCCGTTATACACTTCTTATGCTGAGCAAGGAACAAAAAAAAATTGGAGTTATCGCAGCATCAGCAGGTCAGCTTTTAAAAATTTTTTTTTATAATAACTAATAACAATAACATCTGGGACCAAACTTAATGAATTTAAGCTAGGTCGCTAAACTACCTACTGCCGGCCGGTTCAAATTTGAATCACAGATTCAGCATAAAAGATTCATTTGAATTAGAATCGGTGATTCAAAATTTGAACCGACTGTAGGTAGTTCAGCGACCTCTCCAGTTCATTAAATTGGGTCCCTGCATTTATACAAGTGTAATCTTGTTTAATTTGATTGAACATGAAATGATATGGTTGGATCCGGATTGATTTGGTATTTGATTCGGATATATTTATGTTGATACATTTTGTCTGGTTTGATCTAAATTGATCTAGTTTGATCTCATTTGATTTGGATTAGTTTGAAGAAAAAATATTAGGTTTAATCCGGATTTATTAGTTTAATATTACCATAATTATTTCAGGAAATCACGCTCAGGCGCTGGCTTACCATGGAGGTCAACTGAATATTCCTGTGACGGTAGTAATGCCAATAGTTGCTCCTATTATGAAGGTATTTTAGCTTCAGGCAAAAATTTTTAAAAATGATTAATGTCGAATGAAATAAATATAACAACCAAAAAAATTTTGAATCAAATACAATATTTTTTAATCGATGAAATTTCTAATTTTGGGCTAGTAAAAGTCCTTTCATTTCGATATAAAATGGATTGATTTGATTGTTAAAGTATGCATTTCCTTGTCTAGGTAGAGAACTGTAAACGGTATGGAGCTAGTGTAGTTATCCATGGATCTGATCTAGGAGAATCTAAATCCCATGCTCTGAGACTAGCCAAGAAATATGGATTTCTTTATATCAATGGATACGATCATCCACAAATACTTGCAGGTTAACATCTAAATGTATAAAGTAGCAATCTCTGTTTGTTTGTTGGATTGTATGTCCTACCAAAACGCGAATAAACCCTTCGACCGATTTGCCTCAATTTCTTTTACCTTCCAACCTACTGAGAACTTACGATAAAATTTGAAACCTGAACCTTCTAGCAAGCGTAAGTTTGATGCAAAATATCTTATGTTATGATTTTGACAGGAATATTTGCTATAGAATTCTCTAGCAGGTTTTGTTCTTTTATTTTTATCCTTTTAACCCGAACCCAACTTTAAATCATAGGAACCATTTTTAAACACATACATGTATATTGAAAATATAACTAGGACAAGGAACAATGGTACTAGTGATACTAGATCAGGTTCCAGATCTTGATTAAACTATTATATACCTAGGACAAGGAACTATGGGACTAGAGATACTAGATCAGGTTCCAGATCTTGAATAAATTATTATATACCTAGGACAAGGAACTATGGGACTAGAGATACTAGATCAGGTTCCAGAACTTGATGCTGTTGTAGTTCCTATAGGGGGAGGTGGACTTATAGCAGGTATAAATAGACTTTCATAAATCATAGTGTGGCTACAGGCTAAGCCAAATGTATGTTAAGATAATTAAACTAAGTGAAAATCAATGAATTTGAAGAAGTGTTAAAGTTAAGTTTATAAAAAACGTAAATGCCTACCAAATACCTACCACCGGCTCAAATTCAAATTCATTCAGTTAGGTCCCGGAATATGATAAACAAGATTAAATTAGGTCCCAGAATAGATAAACAAGATTAAATTAGGTCCCAGAATAGATAAACAAGATTAAATTAGGTCCCAGAATATGATAAACAAGATTAAATTAGGTCCCAGAATAGATAAACAAGATTAAATTAGGTCCCAGAATATGATTTACAAGTGCAAAGTTTAGGTGCTGCGCTGGCCATAAAGACGATGAAACCTGAAGTTCTTATAATTGGAGTTGAGCCGGAGAACTGTACTAGCTTCAGCACTGCTATGAAGGTATGCAATATTAGATAATACTCTTCTAATAACTTTAAAGAGACCCTCATTGTAATTTCAAGTCAACCTCCATGCCAGATTCACAACGGTACCCTTTAACCCTTTATCTAATCAATAATGTGGAAGTTAATGTAGTTTTTCTTGCTGGAAAAGCGTTTAATTCTGATAATTCTTACATTGTTTTCCTGCAGTAGAAATGCGCAAGTCACTTTTGTAAAAATGATAAGTTTTCAAAATTTTAAACATTTTATCTTATTCATTCTTGATCAGACAAAGCTTGTAAGGATAGCGTTGTCACTTAATATATACAGAGCTGAAAACTTTAGAATGGTGGATATCGAGATTAATGCTTGATCCTCTCTTTTTCTTAATATCGAGACTTAATATTAAATATCTTCTATTTTAACTTTTAATTGTGGCTTTATCTGTGAGCATCTTCTCAGTATAAAACAAAAACAAAAAACTTTACAAAAAAANGCGCCCATCTTCTATTTTAACTTTTAATTGTGGCTTTATCTGTGAGCATCTTCTCAGTATAAAACAAAAACAAAAAAACTTTACAAAAAAAAACTTTTAAACACAAATTTTTAAAATGTTGATCATTCATAAACCTTCCTTGGGGTCACGTGAGGTTCCAAACAAAATTTGAGCCCGATCGATACAGCCGTTTTGACGTTCATTGGACACCAAACAAACAGACAGACAGTCAAGCTAAATTTATATATTGATGAATAAATTCAATACTGAAGACTGAACACTGAACATACAATATATTTTATTGAATATGATAAATCAGACAACCTTTATGTTCATTGCCGGCTAACACACAATGGCTGGTGAACCTGTATACAATCCCTTTACTCTGTTACAGGCTGGTGAACCTGTATACAATCCCTTTACTCTGTTATAGGCTGGTGAACCTGTATACAATCCCTTTACTCTGTTATAGGCTGGTGAACCTGTATACAATCCCTTTACTCTGTTCTAGGCTGGTAAACCTGTATACAATCCCTTTACTCTGTTATAGGCTGGTATAAACCTGTATACAATCCCTTTACTCTGTTATAGGCTGGTGAACCTGTATACAATCCCTTTACTCTGTTATAGGCTGGTGAACCTGTATACAATCCCTTTACTCTGTTATAGGCTGGTAAACCTGTATACAATCCCTTTACTCTGTTATAGGCTGGTAAACCTGTATACAGTCCCTTTACTGTGTTATAGGCTGGTATAAACCTGTATACAATCCCTTTACTCTGTTATAGGCTGGTGAACCTGTATACAATCCCTTTACTCTGTTATAGGCTGGTAACCTGTATACAATTCCTTTACTCTGCTATAGGCTGGTAAACCTGTATACAATCCCTTTACTCTGTTATAGGCTGGGGAACCTGTATACAATTCCTGTACTCTGCTATAGGCTGGTAAACCTGCATACAATCCCTTTACTCTGTTATAGGCTGGGGAACCTGTAGACAGTCCCTTTACTCTGTTATAGGCTGGTATAAACCTGTATACAATCCCTTTACTTTGTTATAGGCTGGTATAAACCTGTATACAATCCCTTTACGCTGTTGTAGGCTGGTAAACCAGTGGCTACCATGACTTCTCCAAGTTTAGCTGATGGTTTAACTGTTCCAACTGTTGGAGTTAACGCTTTCGCTACAGGAGCTCCTCTTATAGATAAGGTATGTTCTTCAAAGTTCAGGGCTTTAAATTCAACGATTTTATTCAACGTTTTTCTTTAGTCTTCTAAACCTTAGCGGGTTTAGGCGGCAAGGCGTACAGAAACGCCTTTTAGGTAATTGAAATATGCTTTTTTAAGATAATGACGAATTTTCTGCTTGATCAAGTCATTTTGTACAAGAATGGAAGCCCCCCATAATTTTGCATTTGGAAAATATGCTTCAGAACGATTTTACAGATTATTTAATATACAATTATATAATCTTCTACATTATAAACATTGTTTAATCTGTAGAAATATTAAAATATGGTTTAGATTGTAACAGTATCTGAAGCCTGGATAGCTATTGCTATCCTACGTCTGATTGAGAATGAGAAAGCTGTTGTTGAAGGAGCTGGAGCTACTGGTCTAGCAGCTATACTAGCCGGCCTTCTACCAGAACTAAAGGGGAAAAAGTAAACAGATATTTTGTTCCAGATAAAAATTAAGGAGCTGATTATTTGCCCCATACTCTAATTTTATATTTCTTATATCTGTCAAGCTCGATGTCGTAGTTAATCTATAAATTCTGTTGGTTCAAACAGGTTGCAAAGATATAGGGATTGTGAAATTCAAATTTGATGTGATAATAAGTTTCTCTGTAGAAAATATTTGACAATTTTGAGTTAATTTTGCGGAAGGAACCTTACCTTAAAGCCATTTACTCGGGAAGAAAATTGATTCAAGTCCAAAATTTAGATTTACCGATACAACCCTAACCTAGAGTTGTTTACCACTTTACGGAGTAAACTTCGATACAACCCTAATCTAAAGTAATTTTGTCGATTTTCAGAGGAAATAGACACTGATTACGCTCACATACATAGCTAGTGTTTTACCGATGTGGATAATATTGATTAAACCCTACTCTAGAGTTGTTCTACCGATCTGTGGGGGAAATATCGATACAACCCTACTAGGAAGATGCTTGGAGAGAGGTCTAGCAGCTGATGGCAGGCTGGTCACCTTTAACGTAACAGTTAGTGACAGGTAAAAACTAAAAAAATTGTCCTAAATAAATAGTCAACAAAAATACTTTACAACGACAGTTTAGATAATAAAAATAATTAAAGAATTAAAGAAAAACATGGAGTTGTAATTCATACTTGATTATACAAAGCTTTTAAGGGTACCGTTGAATATCTGGCATTGCCATCTTTTCCCTGAGGCTCACTTGAAATTACGCTTACAGTCCCTTTAATTCTAAATTCTACTCTATTGTGTTTAGACCTGGAGGTATAGCTGAGCTGACCCGTGTAATCTCTAACCTAGGAGTATCTGTCAAGGATATTGTTCATGAGAGAGCCTGGGTCAGACAGAATGCATTTGCAGTCGGGGTCAGTAGTTGTAGTACTTTAATCATTATCATCATTGTTTTTAGTATTTTCATTGCTAGGTTTTTTGGTTGGACTTTAATCAATATAATGTTTTGATAACTTGAAATATTGAGTTTATTAACAAATTTTGAAATCTTGGTTTCATCTATAAAATAACACTTTCATAGTAAAGATCTTGGTTTCATCTATAAAATAACACTTTCATAGTAAAGATCTTGGTTTCATCTATAATAACACTTTCATAGTAAAGATCTTGGTTTCATCTATATAATAACACTTTCATAGTAAAGATCTTGGTTTGAAATAAAGGAAAATGAAAATTGAGTTGTGTAAGATGTTTTCTGTTTTCACGCTTGGATTAGTTTATACAATTGTTGTAGGTTCGTATCCTGGCAGAAACCCGTAATAGGAAACATAGTAGAGAACTCTTCAAAATACTCAGAGAAAGCTATGAGGTATTCTTCACTCTACAGACATGGACATGTCATAATAAGTTGATTATCTTTAAGCTTTATCGTCAAAATACAGACAGAACTTCATTTAGACATGGACATTTTTATTTTTATTACATATATTTTTATCTTTCAGATATTTCGTCTTACTCTTTTAGTTGTGTCCTAAATAATATCGATAGAATCCCGATCTGTTTATCTTACTGTTTAAACTGAGGAGGAGTGTGTTTTAAACTAGTCACAAACTCGATCCTTTTATCTTTGCTGCAGCCTTGAATTGTAGACCTGTAAAATATTTAAGATTTGAATTCTGCTCGATATATGTATATATATATATGTGAAAGTGTGAAATATTGAAGGTTTACACAATCAAGTTGCAAAGATATAATTTTGAGGTAAGAGTTCAGGTTTTTCATATAATCATTGACCAACAGCAAGGTTCATGGAACTAACTCCATGTGTATTGAAACTATATTTACTGGATTCTATATTAGGAAGTCCGGGTGGATGGATTTTATGAAACTCCACAGGATTATGTTTCTGGAAATTTAAACAGGTTTTTATACAAAAAAAAAGTTATTAGCTAACATAATATCAAACAATTTTCTGATAAATCATTGAATAAATAATATTAAAGATCACTTGGTTATATGTCTTTAATGAATACAAGAGGAATACTGGGTAAAGGATTTCTTCCGAAAAATTGGTAAATATTAAAATTAAATGAATTATATTTGTAATATTTCGGGACTCCCCCCCCCCTTTCTACTTCATGTATAACTTTCATATTTGGATTGTAAATAAACAGATATTCATCACTAAATATTGATGGAAGGTCCATTGAGCACGTTTTTGAATCGTTTAAGGTATTTTGTCAACATTTTATGTACACTTCATGAAAAATATGTTTCTTAAAATAGACAAGGCTTTGTTTTTCAGTGAGAAATTTGAAAGTTTGGAGGATGAAACTCCTTTTGAGGGAGAGATGAATATACAGTNCATAGACATAGACATAGACATAGACATAGACATAGACATAGACATAGACATAGACATAGACATAGACATAGACATAGACATAGACATAGACATATTTTAATTGAAATTAGCTGACACTATTTTCGCTCCCTATTCTAGGAGGAGAGTCTACGAAAGATGTTGGCTCGTCAGAAACTCACCAACGGAAATAGATAGATAGATAGCTAGTGAATAGTTATCCTTTATCATGCGTTAGTATGAAATATAAAGTCATCGTTTCAGTTTAAATATGTTTAATAAATTTAAATCATTTACTGGCAGAAATTTTAGTAAATAAATTCTTAACATCCTTATCTTAACTTCGCAGACATATGACAAGGAGTACACATATTGTAAAATACAAATATTTAAAAAACAGAATATTTGTAAACTAACTGTATATAACCAAGGATTTAATGCAAGGAAAGTTATTTCAGATGTGTACGCATCTTTTGTACCGCAGTGTACTGTCATTGGGCGGTAATGTAAACACAAGATGGATGTCGAAGCCTGACATGGGATCCATCTTTCACAAAAATAATAAATGAAATATTCTGGTCAGAGGAAACTATTATGTGAATTATCAAAATTATCAAAATTCAATACTTTTAACCTCCTCGGATACTAAACGAACACTGATGCATCTAAATGTTTACAAATTCCGCCCAGAGAGAACTGGTTTCAATATGTACGCAGAGTATACACAACTTCAATTAACTTTCCTTACATTAAATTCTTGTATATAACAGAATATTTGTAAACTACCTGTATATAGCAAAATATTCGTAAACTACCTGTATATAGCAGAATATTCGTAAACTATCTGTATAAAGAAAAGTATTCGTAAACTACCTGTATATAGCAAAATATTCGTAAACTACCTGTATATAACAGAATATTCGTAAACTATCTGTATATAGCAAAATATTCGTAAACTACCTGTATATAGCAAAATATTCGTTAACTACCTGTATATAGCAGAATATTCGTAAACTATCTGTATATAGAAAAATATTCGTAAATTACCTGTATATAATAAAATATTCGTAAACTACCTGTATATAGCAAAATATTCGTTAACTACCTGTATATAGCAAAATATTCGTAAACTACCTGTATATAGCAAAATATTCGTAAACTACCTGTATATAGCAGAATATTCGTAAACTACCTGTATATAGCAAAATATTCGTTAACTACCCGTATATAACAGAAAATTAGTTAACTACCTGTATATAACAGAATATTCGTAAACTACCTGTATATAGCAAAATATTCGTAAACTACCTGTATATAGCAGAATATTCGTAAACTACCTGTATATACAAGGGATGTAATCCGTCGTCTTTGCAATAAGGACAGAGATCACGGACAGAAGGGAATCGGTGTTAGGTAAAGATCATGTAGTGACATACAGTACATCGGAAAAATGAGAGTTGCGGCATCTGTGTACACAGATCTGGGGTATGTAAACAGTAGACAGTTTTTCTATACCATAGCATGAAAGATTTGTTGTATAAAACTGCAAATTAAGAAGTTATACGATCATCAGTAAACTTGAAAAATTATCCGATGGGCAT